TTTTCGCACTTGCTCCACGCACGGACTCGTCAAATATTTCCAGCACTCTCTTATCAGATTGCAGTACGCTGTTATCCTTCTCTCTTGATAAGCAGACAGGCAAGAAAGAAGAAACACTGCTAGATTGTAGACGGCCTCCAATTTTTCGCTGAAAACGTAGAATGAATTTTGGGGATGCATTTTGTCAGCAACACTTTCATGCAAAACTCGCAGTAATCATAAATGACGATGGTTAAGATTTCGCACAACCCGCGATGTGACACTACCGTCGCAGTCGACCCCCATTTTCCTCCACACACAAGAAAAGGCAAAAATATTTGCCAACATGAGGGCATAGGTTAAACTGTAAAGCAACAATCCTTCACAATGTTATTGTTCTGCTTGGTTGGAGATTCGTGCAAACACACACAACCACCCTCAGTCTTGATGCACATCGTTATCCAAGGTTTCCCAGTGAATAGGGGATATGCATCAAGGGGCCAACAACAGCATTCGTTTTTTGCACAGTCCTACCCATAGGAAGGACTGTGCATAAAACGAAAGCTCTTTTTTAAAAGTGAATCCTTCTATCCTGAGAATTATGGTGCTTTCGGGAGCAGAGAAATGCAGAAAGTATTTGAGATGTTAATTCCAGCGCTGCGTTAACAACTGTCACAGGCAAAGCACTGTCAGTTGTTTAATTCGATTATCCACCTGTGTTTCTGGTGTCAGCCAATTTTTTTGCTTCATTTGCTGCTTCTACGGTAGCATGTTATCATAAGTGTTTTCGCGAACCATTAGACTCATGGAATTTACTAGTTTGCGGAAAGTGATGATAGATGGCTGGTGGGATGAGATGGGCGGAAGAGAGTTGGTGACGACATACATTTGGCGGCGGCAGTCGCAAAAGCAAACTTGATGGCTTAAATTAGCAAAAAAAGCAGTTTTGCAAATAATGTCAGTGTGCGCGGAAACTTTCAGTCAGCGGGGAGTGTACTTTAAGATGTTTTCCAGGCTGACACAAACTGTCGGACTTTTGAGGATTTCGTTGAAAAAATGCTTGAATTTTTCAGTAAAGCAATTTTTTGACGCTTTGCGTTTGATGCGTTTTTTGATTCGTAAATGCTCGAAAACATTCTCAAACGTGCTACTACGTCCCTTTTATTTCAAACATTATTAATAATTATTTTTGAACTTGTTTTATTGTGTGCTCTGAGAGTGCACCACTACTGTGCTGCAACAGTAAGCAAAGACGCACACTGTAGGAGATTGCCTGTGTGTGTCCGCGTGAATTTTATTCTCCATTTTCAGTAATTTTATGAGCATGCTTTCAGCTCTAATGTCAGCCTTGAAATCAGCGTAGACTAGGTCTCATTTATAGACTCCCATGCGTATGCCACGTCAGAGTTCGCACTGGAGGAAGACAGTTGTAATTATGTAAAAATATTTGTCGTCTCTATGGGAACTCCTATACTTAAATTGAATTTTGGATTGCACATGCGCCGCTTGTAAGGACCAGCTGAAAATATTTGTAGTGGCGATTTCGGGGACCTGAGAAACTAGGAAGCTAATATTTTATAAGGGTATTCTGCGCCTGCGCTTCAGTTGGAAGTTTTTAAATTCAGCTTCGAGTTACGCTTAAGTTCTACATCATGTTCAAGTAAATTTTTTAATATTGGATAATTTCAGCATCATTTCACTCTACAACAGCTGAGCAGGAAGCTGCAATTTAGTGAGGATATTTATTGCCCACATGGAACCCTGTAAGCGCAAAATAGTTTCTCCTTTCACAGCTGCCTTGCGTGCGGACATGCAAAGTATTCAAACTGCAACATTTTTATCTCTCTCGGTAATCAGACAGCCAAGAAAGCAGAAATTTTGCGAAAATCCTGACGTATCCTGTACACACTAAAAACGCCCTCTACCTTCATACACACCTAGATCTCACATGCGACTACAACTTGTTCCAGTGTGCATTTTGCTAACATCTGTAAGCAGAATTTACGGCAATTAATCCATGTTGGAGGTTAAGGTTTCACTCAGCCCCACGATGCAACATTACCTTCCTAGCCGATACTTCTCCCCTGCGTGCAAGAAAAAGCCAGCATGTGCACACATATTAAACTGTAAAGCAAGTCATACTGTTAGCGATCTGACTGCTTCAAGACTAGCGCCAGTCATACTGTTAGCGATCTGGTTGCTTCAAGACAAGCGCAAAAAAAAGTGTAATCGCACTGGAGCCATGGTGCGGATTGTTAACTGTGTTTAAATGTGGCAATCACAGCCATGTAAGTGGTGTTATTCTGGTGTGACTATATCAGGCTCCTGAAGTCACTGAGATGTAGTTCCCATTTCTTGCTCAAATTTTTCTGGTTCTCGACGTTAGTATGGAAAGTGTTCCAATTTCTGGTGCGATTATATCGGCCCTCTTATATTTTTCTACCTACATTCTCTCTTTCGTTTTAGTATTTATGGCCAGTAAATCATGTTATACGCCATATTTTCTGAAATGTTGTAAGGGACCGTTTGATAAAAGAGCCGCGCATTGTAGATTTTTTGCTAAGTGAAGAAAATATACAATAAGCAGCCCTCCACTGCAGGTGAAATGGGCGATGTGGTTGGTGACCGGAATTTCGTCATTGATATCTCCACGCCCGAAACACTCGAACGGGATTTCTACGCCTGGCTTTACGTTAGTTTGTTTAATTTTTTTCACATCGGCCTGTCGTTTGGATTGTTTGAACTCTGCAATTCTTTTGGGTTGCGAAGACACTCCGTACTTCCAAATACCATGGTAACTGTACTCCCGTACAGTGCTAAGCAAGTAAACGAGGTCAGCCAGTAGCTTAAGCTAAATCAACTGATGCTCAGATTGTAGGAGCTGCTCTACTACCGAGGTGTGTCTGCGGTGTTGAAACATGAATATTTAATAAAGCGAAGGCACGGCTTACGATTAGGCAGAAGTTCATCTTGCGCTTAGTAGCTCGCAAATGAACAGCAAACATCCTCAGAGAAATACTGCTTCCTGCTGGTTTGGTTATCAATTAATCGGGTGCCAATAGTGAACTGGCCTTTCACTTGCGTATACGCTGAACTTAGATACGCTTTAAAGATGAAATTGAAATCGAAATATTTAAATAGAAATTGAAATATTTAGACTGACATTGGCATATAACTCTCATAAATTAAGACTGGTTGGCGAAATCTCCTTTTTTTTAAAAGTATATTTGACTTGTTCGAACATACGACACAAGCGAACACCAAAGCTCACTTTAAGCCTGCTTGCCTTCGTATGGAAAACAAAAATTTTTATAAATTTTGAGTACTCTAATCAGCTTAGCCGAGCAGGCATTTTTTTAACGACATCAATCTCAGCTTTGAAGTGCTCGTGTACGCAAAATAGACACGCGTTAAAACTGATTTTGAAATCTTTAGCTTGCACTAAGATATAGAGCATCGTTGTCAAATTCCGGCTTCCTGTCTTGTTTTGTTTCTAAACTGCTATCCCGCCAAAAACTTTGCATGTTATTTTAGGTATCTATAAGTAGGTTTCTGGATGATAATATTAAAACTGTGAGGCTGTACAAGGGTTGGAAGCATACTCCAAAAGTTCCAGATTACTAGTTTCTCTGGTTGTTGAGTTGAAAGTGGTTGATAAAATGTGAACATTCATACGTATAATTTCTGCGTTTTTGCATACGCATGAATATGCAGAAACGCATGAAAAACAAATCCATTTCGAAAAATAAGTTAACGGACTTTTTATTCACTTCAAGGGACGGCTAAATGAATACTGTTCAGGTATAGGTTGGTGTATTTAGAGAGTTCAATACACTGTTTTGACCTCTTACCCTCTTCCATTTTTGCGTTTCTTGATTTGTAGTTTCACTCGCCGAAGGACTTTTTTTGTGCTTTTTCGACGAACCAGGCTATAAAACAGGGGACTTGGATAAAAAGGGTTAATACACCCACGTGTCTGTGCACCTATCCTTCTCCTCTTGTCATCATAAATTTTCATTCCACAATTTTTTGCAGCGCTAGCAGCATCTTAATCACGGACATTTGCGCGTAATGAATAATGCGTCTTCCGTCCGGTTGTTGCTGCCACGCCCGCTAGGGTGTGCTCCATTCGTCTGCCCGTGCTTGCTTCTCACTCGCCCAAGAAATGCGTGCAGTGTTTGAAACGGAGCTTAAACTGTAATTAGGGCGCCGAGCCGTAAAAAAAAACCGGTGTTCCGGCTCGATTCAAGTTCGTAATTCCTGCTTCTTCAATTACATTACTCTCTTATTCTCTATACCTGTGTTTTTACCGTTTCGCTATCGAAACAAAATACTTTTCACAAAAGAAAAAACAAGAGTTCTTGAAATCCAAAATGAGAAGTGGAGGAGGGAGGAAAGGGCCCCAAAGATGATTGACCGGCATGCAAATTAAATGCGTGATGGCATATGGATAATGAGGGATGTTCGCAAATAAACAGCCAAGGTGACTGACAGGTATCGGACAGCGCCTGCTGGATCCAGGAGTGCTAAACAAGCCGATATCGTGAAGTTGTTCATGCCCTTAAACAATAACATTGACAGCGGATACAAGCATACGTTTTTTGCGCACTTTTGACCGTGGGAGACCAAATCTGTATGCTAACCTCCTTATTTGCACGGAGTCATGACTTGAAACAGTGAAATTGAAATGCTGGTATAACTAGGTTCCTCATCTAGTAGCCATTTATGATACATTCATCCGATAGATGCTCGGATCACGAAATCGAAGTTGAATGGGACAGACAGGCGGATAGGCTCGCACATACACATTCAGAGTGTTGCAAGTATGCATTTCTGCACTTGTCTAAATTCACAGACATTTAACCCCCCTTGCGACGCATTAGGCTTTCTGGTGTGAACATGAGTTTTTGCGCTAAACTCGTAACGGTGAGATAGTTAGCAACAGTGGTGGTCCCTGCGTTATGATTAAACACATGGACTCATGGTGGCTGTGTGTCCCAAAATTTCAGTTTCTCAGTTTTCCTCGTTGCTGGGTTGAAAGTGGGTGATAAAGCTCATTCGTTTTTTGGAACTTATATGTACACAGACGCACTCTCGACGATTAAGCATTTTTGCTTATTATAGCAGCGCTATAGTGTGGCACAGAAAACGCATGAAAAACCAAATACTTATTGTTTTAAGGTTTTAGTACAAATGCGAATATTCTAACGGGTTAGATATAATCACCCCTCTTCCGGAAAGAAAGTTTTTGCCTTCAAAAATTGCTGTCATTGAATTTGAAAAAAGTTTGAGAAGTTATTTTATAACTTCAAAAATTACTGTTAACAAAAGTTATAAAAATTTTTGCTACTTGATCGGTAGTCTTATTATTTAAGCGTATTTGAAAATACTAAAAGGAACACTTTTCAGTGGTCTTTTCGTTGATTCCGCAAAAAAACGTTGTCCCTTTCTTTCAATAAAAAAATTCAAATCATTTTTCAAAAATTTACAAAGCAAGTGGCAAGTGGTTAACACTTCATTTATAAAATGTTTGATGTTGTGCAGTGTATGTAGTGTGAAGAACAGTAACAACATCTGTTAGCCACTACATCAAGCTTCTTTCAGGGTGAAATAAAAACAAGCAGCAGCATTTCGGAGCGTTTACCACCGATTGATGATTTGGCGTTCAGAGTTCGGGATTCGCTACTATCTCCAGACGAGATGTCCGATGGTGGCTCGTTTGCCGATAGCCCTCCATCCTCAATATCATCGGATTCGAACGATTACCGAGGCTTGGCTGATGCAGAGAATCGCCATGACTTTATTGCTTCATGTCCTGGCCGAAGTTCCGGTGAAAATTTTCGTTTCTAAAAAAATTAACGTCTTGTTCATGTTGTTAATCTTTTTTGAATCCTGGTAATGCTGATACGAAATTTCAGTGAATGATTTGGGTTTTGGATTAGAAAATGAAGAATAGAAAAAGTAGGAAGTACAGTAAAATGCTGCTGGCTGAAAGAGGCAAATTAAGTCGCGATGAATAAAATATATTTGAATTGAAGAATGTTTTTGAAAATAACTGACCAGGAAGCCGGCTCAATTATGATAAATAAAGTATTTGGGATGGCCAATAGCTAAAAACCCAGGCTGGAACGCACCAGGCGAGCCGGTGCGATCATGTGTTTTTGCACCAGACTTGAAACAATTAGGTTAACTGTATGAGTTTTGTTTCTTTACACCTACCTTGTGCTCTCAATACCGTAACTCATCGTAAATTTTGCATT